CCGTGGTGAAGAGCTACCTGGCCCCAAATGTTAGTGGTGCCTGTCGGGAAACGGCGGTGTGTATTCTAGAATTCCACGTAGACGGTGGGAACCCGTATTGGGGTGTGGACGGTCTGCCCTTGTCGGGAAAGTCAGTGACCCAGTAAGTGAAGGGCTTGGAAGGAAGTAGGCAGGGAGCTGGGAAGGCCAGCCATGTTACGCGAACATTACACGCCTGTAGCGTGACTTAGAGTCCAAAGAGGGTACATGTTGAAAGAACCCATGGCCCGTTCCAGTCTCCCATCAGCGGTGCTTCCTCTGCCCGAGTGGCCGGCACCTGCAGCCAAGTTCGTCCCTGCGGTTGCTCTTCTCAGGGACTGTGCTTTCCTGGTGCCTGCTGGCCTCCTGCTCACCTCAGTCTGTTCACACCTGTCCCCGCCCTAGGCTGTCAGTCATCTGCTGGCGGGCTGCCCCGGGCACCGGGGTCACACTCACGCGTCAGCTCCACGCGTGACTCCACGGCAGCTTCCCCGGCTCCCGTGACCACTCTCCACTTTGTACATCAGCAGGTTGTGTAACCTATTCGACTTCACAGAATTTCCTTTATTTTTTTTTATTCCTCACCGAGCATATGTTTTTATTGGCTGAGAGAGAGGCAAAGAGAGAGAGAGAGAAACATCGATGTGAGAGAGACACATCGATCAGCCAGCTCCTGTACGCACCCAGACCGGGGATAGAACCTGCACCCTGGTGTGTGCCTTGACAGGGGACTGACCCCATGACCTTCCAGTACACGGGACAGTGCTCAACCCACTGAGCACACTGGCCAGGGCCACAGAATTTCGAATGCTCCCTCTCACAGGTCTGCTCCTGTCTGAGGGGAGGTAGCAGGAGGCGGGCACAGCAGGGTTACCTGCAGGTGTGGGCAGTGACGGGGGAGCTGGCCGATGGGGGATGGTGGCAGCGGGCACCTCCTCTCCCTTCTCCTCAAGCAGGTCTCAGTGACACAGCCTTCCTCACTTCTGACCGTTCCCTTAAGCCTTAGCACTTCGGTGCAAGCACAAACACTTTCGGGGTGAAACGTATCTGGCACTCTGTATTTCCTAGTGTGTAAGGAGGAGGTGAAGTTTACCGAGGGAAGAAAGACAGACCTGCGGGAGGGTTTGTTGCAGAGCATGGCCCGCTGTCCCCCTCTCTGGGTGGGTCCTCAGACTCATCATGTTTTTGTTGTTGTTAATCCTCACCCGAGAATATTTTCCCATTGATTTTTAGGGAGAGTGGAAGGGACGGGGAGAGACAGAGAGACAGAAACATCGATGTGAGAGAGACACATTGATTGGCTGCCTCTTGCACACACCCCAACCAGGGCTGGGTTGGAGCCTGCAGCTGAGGCACGTGCCCTTGACCGTAATGGAACCCAAGACCCTTCAGTCTGCAGGCTGATGCTCTACCCCTTGATCCGCTAGGGTCAGACCCGCGTCTTGATTGTCCACAGGCGTCCTGGCCCAGGTGCCAGGTGGGCGCCACCTGCGGAAGGCGATGTCGCCGCGGAGGCGAGCCTCGGGGTAAGAGTGAGGGTGGTTATTTTTAACCCTCTGCCCACCATTTCGTCAGCGTTCAGGAGAGAAAGGGAGGATGTGGGGGGAGTGGCGGCCACCGTGGAGTCATTACCACTCAGCGCAGCACAGCAAGGAGGCAGAGCCATCTGCCCGGGGAGCTGCGTGCCACCTGTCCTCTGCTCCAGGGCGAGTGAGTGGGTGACTGTAACATCCTGTCCCGCCACCGAGCAGCTGGGAGTGACTGTGCTTCCCCCTCTCAGTAACTCACCCACCGAGCCACCGAGCCACCGAGTCAGGAAGTCCCCGTGCCAGGACCCGCGGGCGCAGCCGATCCGTGGCTGTCGCCGCCTCATTGGAGAAACCCGTGGGTGGGCAGCAGGCACCGAACAGCCACAACCTGGGGCTGGCGGACGCAGCCTCTTCCTTTTCTTTTCTTTTTTTAAAAATCCAGGAATTGTTTCCTCCTCCACTGCAATGAAGAATGTCATAATACATATTAACATTTCAGAGAGTCTCGGACAAAAATAGCATCGCAGCACAATTACTTACACTCCAGAGTGTCGGAGGCTCAGCTGGCTTCGGTGGGAGAGACATCTGTGTGTCTAATACAGGGATTGTGCTGCTCTCGGGAGGAAAAATATTGGATTTAAACAACCTGGGGAAAAAGACTTC